GGGGGGGGGGGGAACGACGACAAAGACGGAGAGGGGAGAAATGGTCACGCACAGTGGGGAGCAAGTCTTCAATGTGTGGCTTTGGGATCCCTAGCCAGGAGATCACACAGACAAGATCACAGGATAGTCCCGCCCGATCCCACACAGCTTATCTACCACCCACTCAGGGGAATGGAGAAAGGGGCGCGGGGGGTGGGGTGGGGGAGGGGGAGGGGGACATGGGAGCAGGAACATCACAGTACAGCTTGTAAGGCCTCTTTCTCTGGCCACCACAGCCCCAGCTCTGTTCCCATGGTCCCCATAAGTAGGCCGGCATCATGGGCGTACACATAGGGCCCTCCTCGGTCAAGCCTGATGCTGAGCTGTAGCCATCTTGAAATGCCTACTAATTTCTTACCAAGGCCCCAAACTGATTGTGTAGCCAGAGCTTCCCATGATGCTCCAACCCCAGTGTTTAATGCAGGGACCCCCTCCAACCAACCGCCCACCCCGGGACGCCTTCTCCAGCTTCCTAAAGGACTGTGACAATGGTGTTCCCACCTTCCCCAGTCTGCCAGTTCTCCAGCTTCAGCCTCCGACTCTCAGGTCCTATCCACCCTGGGTCTTCAGTGACCTCACTGGCTGACAGCTTCCCCAACACTTGCATGCCAAGGACTTCCTGCCCTCGCTCTGACCATAACGTGGTCAATACCTGCCAGAGTCTCATCAGGTCCCCAAGTCTCTTCCTCTTGAAGGAGTCTTCACGAGCCTCCTTCCTCACCCAGGGTCAGCTGCATCCGTCTAGATAAAACTCCAGGGCTCCCATCTGACTCATCCCCTCTTCTCCCCATCTTCAGTCCCTGAAATACCGCCTAGCCCCAAGGGGCCTCGGGGTCTCATCCTAGCCCTGTCCGTTTTTATTTTACTTAGGATATCATCGCTCTTTGGTAGTGGGGAATGGGACCAAGGGCTTCCCATGTTTGACAATTCTCTCCCACTTAGAGCTACTCACCCAGTGGAGCGGAGCACTTTTTAAAAACTCCAACCGGTCCCAGGTCCTCCTCTGTTCTAACCGGCCCAGGTCCTCTGACTCACTGGAGTGTGAGCCTTACCTGATCCAGTCTTGAGATCCTACCCGCATGCCTGCACTGGGATCCGCCCACTACCCTTCTCTCTCATGTGTACATATGAGCATGTTTTTATGTGTGCGGTATGGGTACACACTTGTACACACACACACACACACACACACACACACACACACACACACACACACACAGGTCAGAAGATAATCTCGCATGTTGCCTCTCTCTGGGTGTTGTCCACCTTATTTTTGAGAAGGGGGTCTCTTGAGGGCCTGGGTCTTGCCTGACTAGGCTACACTGTCTGGTTAGCTAGCCCCGGGAACTTGCAAGTTTCTACTCCCCATGACCAACACTGGAATTACAAGTACGCAGCTCACCACCTGTTCTTTGTTTTTTCCTGTTATTGTTTATGTGGCTCCCGGGGAGGAGAACTCCAGTCCTCACGCTTGAATGGCCAATGATTTACCGGCTGAGTTATCTTCTCCAGCCCCTCTACTTGGCACTTTTGAGACAAGGTCTTGCTATACAGCTCAGGCTGGCATCCAACTTGCCACCTTCTCGCCTCTCCTCCTGCGCTTCTCCTCCAGTGTGGGTACATTAAAGTGGACAGCCGATGTGGGGACCAAGGACAGCGTTGTTAGTTCTTTACAGATGAGGACCAGAAGGGTCTGAACTAGAGGTAACAGGACCAGGGCCTGTCTCCAGGGCTTCTGATGCCTTCACCGGAGTTCTTGCTTCATGGCTCTAGGTCACTGAGAGCCGTGGTGCTCCTGGGCCCTCCTCAGGCTACAGAGAGCACAGTGTAGCCTCTGCTCACCCGGAGCTAACTTTTGGTGTCTGCCTTGAACACTTTTTTTTTTTTTTTATCATGTTCAAGTCAAACACAGGACTCATAGGCTGCCCCAGGCTTGGATATCCTGGGTTTCCTTCCTGGGGGCTTTGGGAGACCAGTGGGCTATCTGCTTCCTCCAGAGTTTCCATGAGCAAGCCCCAGTCAGTCAGTCAGCAGCTAGCGCACCTCTGCAGACACCCAGTCTTTTGAGGCGTTTGTGAGGCGGCAAAGGCATGCTCTGTCCTTGCCTCCAGGGGAGGAAGCACAGACGTACACACGCATGCATGCACACAAGCACACTGTCATCCAGGTTCACATACCAGACCACTGAGTAGCTAGACCGAGGACACATTCTCAAACTATCTGCAAGAAGACTCTCTCCCAGCAGCCTCTACGCAGGGGCCTCTTGGCAGTGATGTCTCTATTCAGCTACCCAGATACTGTTGGACTCACCATAAAATCTCTTGAGGTATAGACTGAGACACTTTTTTTTTTTTAAATCCTTAGGAACCAAAAGGCCTAAGAGGTTGGGAACAGAAGAAAGAATCCATTCTTTATACTTCAAACCCTGAGTTCCATGGCAGGTCCCTGGAATGGGTCAGGCAGGAGGCACAGATCACGTACTCCATGAGGGCAGGCCGGCTGAACCTCAGCCAATACCGTGTGTGTGTGTGTGTGTGTGTGTGTGTGTGTGTGTGTGTGTGTGTAGGGGGGGAGGGGTGTGTGTGTGTGTGTGTGTGTACCACCCTTTGGCGGTAGATACACTACCAAGATGAGTAAGGACCAAGCCCTTCTGAGAGGGAACCAAAACCATCTCTGGAAACAGGAGAGCGAATCTAGGGCAGAGGGTGACATCGGTCTTCTAAGGGGGAAGAACTATGTCTACTCACAGCCTGTCTCATAAAAAAAAAAAAAAGCATCTGCTAGAGGAGCACCCAGGAGGAGTTTTATACCAAATGCCAGCATCTCTTCATGTCTAGAGACGGCAAACGCAAGGGGGCACCACTCTGTCCAAGCACGGGGCAGCCCTCTGTAGCTTCCTGGGTCCCTCAGTGGTCCTTCCTACCCTATCACTGTTTTTAAACCTTCCCAACTCCAGACTCACCAGCTGAACGTTGTCTCCTTCAAAGGCAGGTGACTTCATCTTGACTAAGAAGGGGGCTGGGTGGGCTGGTTACCCAGGGCCCTGGCTCTATCAGAGGCAAGGTGCCTTGTAAGGGCAGACCCAGGAGGCCAGGAGGCCTCTCTGGTCCTTGAAGTTTTTTTCTCCACCACAACTCAGCTCCAGGGGTCACAGAACTATTCCCTTTTATAGACACAGAGGCTGTGGGTTCCACTGAGACAGCCTGGCCAACAATGGTGTCTGGTCACGGTGTCTCTGTCCACAAGTCCCTTCACGGGCCTCTCTGGCCTTGCACCCACCTCGCCCTCACACCTCTGACTCTGTACCTCCACCCAACCCAGCCCAGCGGCTCCAGCCTCCATTCATTCTCTCCCCTCTGCCCACACCGCTCATTCTGGCTGTGCCCATGTCCTTCAAGCTCCAGTTCAAATGTCACATTGCCCACAGGCAGGTCTGACCTAAGCCTGGGGTATCTCTCTCGGGCCCCTCCCCAGCCCCCTGCGCCACACCGAGGGCCTGGTTATCAGAGTCCAGCCATATCTCCCCCCAGCCCCCATAGGAAGGTGAATCAGTCCTGGGAGGGCAGGCCCAGTCCCCTCCCACCCTTCCACCTCAGCACCGGGCCCTGGGGGAGCCAGCACTCAGTAAATGTTTGCTTAATTGAATCTGGCCAAGCAGCTTCCTCTAGACTGGGGCCAGGTTAGCAGAACTAGATGATTCCTAGTGCAGGGAAAAAAAACCACTTGGGCAGAAAAGAGCCAGCCAGGCAGGGCTCAGGTGTCTTGCCCCAATCCCCTCCCCAGACAAGGCGACCTCGGTTACCAGGCTGTGTCCCTCCACCCTGAGACTCAGACTCCAGGGAACCCTGGTCTCACTTGGCACTGTTTTCCCATCCTCCTCTCTGTAACAGGATCCCCAATTCTCGGCCTAGGCAGATTCCTGCCATCTTCATCCAGACAGGCTCAGCACCTCCCTAGAGGGAGAGCCCCCACAGATCCACCGCAGGATCCCGAGCAGAGGCCCTCACACCCCTCTCCAGACACCCCACCGCCTTTTAAGGGAAAAAAATATTGAGCCAGGAACACATTACAATCGCAGCAGGTCGATACTCATCTCTGGCTCCAAATGCCTCCAAGGAACCTGCTCCCTTGCAAGAGCGATGACCGAGAACAGCGAGCTGTTGTACCCGGGCCTCAGGGCCCTCTCTCTTCCCGTCCTATCAAGGCCAAGCGCCCGGAGCTCCTGACACCTGCGGCTGCCTGCACCCCTGGCCCCCCGGAGAGAGACCCTCGCCTGGCGTCGCTCCTGCAGGTCGCCCGCCTGGGCTCCGCACCCGCAAGCTGCTCAGGGCGAGCAGTGGTCCCCTATCATCCTCGGCACCCCCCTGCTCAATCTCGCCAGGCGGCGGCCAGTCCTTCCGAGGGTAACTGGGCCGCCGCTGCCTCCCTCCCCAGGCACCTGTCTGGGCCGTGGCCACCCCCCTGCCCACCTCGCAGACAACCCCACCCTCGCGGCTCTCCTACCCGGCAGGGCATCCCTGCCTCTGCACCCCTAGTCCCAGAGACCTCGGGTCCCCAGCACAAAGGCCCCAGGCTCGGGCCCGGGTGGGGGTGGGGTGAGCCCCAGCCGCGCCCCCAGCCCAGGGTTCAGCTGTGCGCGCCGGGGCCGCTGGTGCGCTCTCTCACTCACCTCCCGGGCGCGGCTCCGTGCGTCGGTCGAGCTGCACCCGGCGGGGCGGGGCCGCGAGCGCGGGGCTGTGGCGCCCCGGTTCTGCACGACGCGGGGTGCCGGCGCCCGCGCGAGGACGTGACCGGTCCGCGGGTGGCACACACGCTCCGCCGCCCTGGCTCCCTCCTCCGCCCTCCCGCGCCGCCCGCAAGCGGGTCCACCCGCTCCGCACCGCGCCGCCGCCGGCAGGGGGCGGAGTCGCGAGCGCAGCCCGTTGCCAGGCCAACCGCAGGCGGGGTCTGTCGCTCGCCTGCCCCGCACCACGCGCTGCCGCCGGACCACTAGCTCCGGCTCGTTTCCCATTGGGCGACAGTGACCGACGGACGTACAACCCGTCCAGTAACGACAGACAGGGGCGGGGCCGCGGCTGTCTGCGCGCCGCCGTACGGCACGCGCTGCTGGCTCCGGCGACTGTGGCACTGCACTGAGCTGAGCCTCGCCGAAGCCGCTTCTAGCGTCTGGGGAAACCCACCCCGAGAGCATCGTAGCCCTGGTTCCTTGCACCCTGCTTGCCTCGCCCTTGTCTATACCTCAGTGGGGTTCGAACTCAGCCCCGGCAACCTACTCTCCCACCCTTCTCTTTGCCAAGTGCTGTCGGTCCTGGCTTCCTTGGATCGTTTCAACAATCCTTTAGGGCGCGTGAAAACGCTAATGGGCTAAGCTAGCGAGGTTGGCGCAGCATGTCGTTCGTCTTCTCTTCTGCTCTCTTTTGCAGCATGTAGGGGGTACTTATAGGAGTCCCTCCCACCCCAGCCGAGAGAAGCCGAAGGGGGAACCAGAACCTTCCTTGGATCCGAAGGGAACCAAGTCCCTGCCCCCTTTGGAGACGCCCCAGGAGACACCAGATACTTGGCAAAATGCACCTAAGTGCAGGCCGTGAGATTCTGCCTAGTATCAGGAGGAGCTCATGTGTGGGTCTTGGCTGGGGGCACCTCATTCCCGTGCGAGAAAGACTCAGACCGGGGGTCCACCAGAGTAGTGCCTCTCTGTCTTTTCCATCGTTCTAACCCTAAGCATATAATGTGTCTGAGAGCCCAGGGTGAGGTGGGGAGCCATGACCACATGTTGGTGCCAGCCGGATGCTTTGGAAGCAGGACATCATCATCCCACCCTCTCCCTGGGAATGGTTCTTCTGCTGTGAAATGGGGACTGTTGTACTACATACTTGGGGGGAGGGGGGGAGCTCACCTGTGAAAGCGCTGTCTAAACTTTCAGGGAAGGGACAGGTACTGGTTATGGGCACTGCTGAGGCCAACCTAGACATGGTACAATGCATGGCCAATGAGGACCCAAGGAATTCTGCTAATGATTTAAGAACATGTCTACCAAATCAACAGGCTGTGGGGCCGGGCTCCTGTCGCTGGGACCTGGCTGAGAGCCAGTTTCCCAATCTGTTAAAGAGGGCACTATAGACTCCTCAGAGGGTTAAGGAATGTAGGAAATAAGTGATCAGGGCTCGGTGGAGGCAGTTTCCACAGCAGGCACAGGGGTCAGACTTCAGCCCTTTGCAGAGAGTAAAACCAATGCAAGAATTAGATTACCCCCTACAGCATTCCAGGTGGGGGAGCAGAGGCTAGCCCCTGAAGTGTATACCAGGGCTGGTTGCTGCCTCCTGGACCTGATCCTGGCAACTACTTCAAAGTGAGAGGCTTTGGTGTCTGTCACCTGGTCTTTTGCTGGTGGCCTCCACGTGGTGCATACTTCTAGAATATAGCTCTGCACCCTTTTAGAAGACCCTCCCTGGTCGCTATAGAGCAGGGGGTAGAAAAGCAACAGAAGCATTCATCCTTATAGTTACACAGTTGTAGCAACCCGGTGGGGTCCTTGGGGGCACAGGGCAGGGAGAGCAGCTTTATAAAGATAGGATGCTTGGGTTGGAGCTATGGCAAGAACAGGATGGCCAGGGATCAGAGAGAAATGAGTTCCAAGGTGGGCATGAAGGAATGTGAGCTCTGTGGAGAACCTAGGAAGGGCCAACTTATCCACACTAGCACCCGCCACACACAAGGATCCTAGGAATAGCCACAACTAACTAATGACCTGTGAGTATGGTTGGAGAGGTTGGCTTAAGAACCGGCAGAGAAATTTAAGATTAGCTCTTTTCACACCCGAGAAGGCGAGTGGTAGGTAGTGTATTAGCTGTGATAGGCGTGAGCTCACAGACAGGGCGAGCTGTGTTGCTGGGAATAATCAGATAATGAAAATATTGAGGAGTCCAGCTCAAGAAAACAAGAGCAGGCTGGGAAGTCAGCCTACAAGGCCTGTTGGATCTGCGGAATCACAGGGACACCGATGCCCTGATGACTTGCCCCCAGCTGGCTCTCCACTAGCCTTCCCGATATCCTGGTGTGGGCTGGGGGTGTCCTGCTCCTCCCTGGAGTTTCAGCCACCCAGGCCTCGCCTTTAGAGAGGGCACCTGTCCTGGCAGGCTCTTTTCTGTGCTCTGACTGTCTTGCTTCTAAGACTCACTGATTCTCAGGCTGTGGCAGCCGGGTGGGTTTCTGCACTCTGTTTCGCTGGGTCCATGTGTCCCATCCCCCCACTTCAACATTCCAGACCGCACCTGGGTTAGTTACAACCAGCCAGGCCAGCCACTTGTCTTTTAGCTGAAGAGAAACAATGTAAATGAACAGAAAAGACACACCCCTCGCTAACTTTGTTTCTGATTTTCCCCCTTGGCCTCAAAGTGAATCTTGGTCCAACAAAATCTGAGCTGCTGAGGGTCCTGGCTCTGTCCTCGGCTGGCAAGTCCTTTGGGCATTAGACTTGCTCCCCCCCGGGACTCAAGGGAAGGGGGCTAGATAGAGACAAGGAGAGTACCTCTAATATTATAACTTTTCTGACCTCCTCTCCCTTCATCCTTCCCCTAACCTGTGTCTGTCTCAACTCAGCCAGTAGTCTCAGGCAGGAGGGACTCCAGCCCCCAGGGTTCCTCCGGGAAGCTTAGACACAGGTGCTAGTCAGGGCAGAATCAAGTCCCAGTTAGGAGACTTCTACCAGCGTTTACCAGCACCCAGGCCCAGTTTCAGTGCTGAGGAAACCAGGCTCAGAGATTAGGTAATAGGTCCAAAAATCACACAGCTGGGAAAAGACACATTTAGGTGTCAAATCTAGGCTTTGGAATTCTGGGTGGGAAATGGAAACACAAACAAGTAAAAAACAAACAAACAAACAAATCCCCAAACCCAAATCCCCAGTTCATTGGAAGCAGTAAGTAGGGAAGTAGCTTCCCTGAGCTGTCCTGATACCTTAGAGCATGAATGGGCAGAGCTAGTTGCTACACTCAGGCACCCCAGGGAGAGGCTGGCTAAGAGCACCAGGAGCCACTGGTTATCCGGGAACAGGAACGTGAGGAGCAGTGAGAGCTGCTAAGATCCCCGGGCCCCACCTCTCCACCCCATCACCACAGTCACCTGCCATCTGACATCCTCAGGGACCGAGGAAGGAAAGCCGGGGTGATGCCCGCAAAGAGGAAATTCCCTGGTGCTAATTGCCACTGAGAGACCTGTAGGCTAATTAACCTGTTCATTTGCCTCTCTAGAGTAAATTAGAGGGTTTAACTGGGGAGACTGAAAGAGAGATGTTTGCTGGTGGCCACCTCCTGGGGGGGAGGGGGCAATGGGAGGCTTTGTAGTGGGCACAGTGGGCTGCTGGAGAGGCTTGGCAGAGGGGCTGGCTGCCAGGGGGTAGGCACAGGTGGTCCTTGCGTTGTTTCCCTTTTCATTGCGGTGAATTGGGAAGGCTGCCCTGATAGCCTGGAGCATTCCGGGTTCTCCAGAAGGAGAGGGGTAGGTCCTGTTTATTGGGGGGTGTCCTCTGCTGCTGGCCTCTGCGCCCCATGGTTTGGTTATAAAATGCCCCTCCCTACAGGTTCATGCACCTGAGCATTCGGTCCCCAGCTAGTGGCACTGTGTTAGGGAGGTTGTGGAGCCTTCAGGAGGTGGAGCCTAGCTGGACGTGGGCCAGCTGGGGTATGCCTTAAAGTTTACAGCCTGTCTCCCCCACGACTGCCCACTGTGTGCTTCCCGTTCTGCAGAAACGTGAGTTGGTAAGGGGGTCCCAGTTTTGTGTTCCCACTGCTATGGGGCCACCCGTGGTCACGCCTTCCCTGCCATGACAGACTGTTCCTTCAGGGCTCATGTCACTTGTGTGTTTAGTCACAGCCGTGAGAAAAGAAACCAACACAGCCTGGCCCCAGGGACTTCCAAAACCCCTTGGCCAGAGTCCTGTCATTTTTAGATGGGGACACAGATCTTTGGGGGGGGGACGACAGGAGATCCTTTTTTACACCCCTACACTTTCCATCTCAGGCTCTATCTATTCCAGGCTCCAGAAGCTTTGGCATAGTTTGGATGTGAAAGGAAGCCCAATGCTTCCCCACTACTCTGGAGGGAGTTTGGTTGGTGTTTCCTTTACCTCTGACAAAATAACTTGAGAAACTCAGTGTAAAGGAGAGAAGATTGACTTTGGCCCCTGGTTTCCCGGGCTTCAGTCAGTGTTCACACGGCTTTATTGCAGAGCATCTTGAAGCAGCTGGGGGTAGAGCAGAGCTGCCCGCCTTAAGGGTAGGTGGGGGTGAGGTGAGCCAGAGAAAGGGGAGAGGGGAGGAGGGAAAGAGGTGGTGGTCGGGAGCAAGACATAGTGACCTACTTCTAATAGACTCCACTCTCTATTAGCTCATTGCGCTATGAACTGACCATGGATTAGACCACCGACGAGGCTAATTAACGAAGTAAATGCCATGATGAGCCAATCACCTCTTCACTGGGGCACCTGCTGGGGACCAAGTCTTTAACATATGAACCTTTAAAGATATTTTACATCCAACCCATAATAGCATGGGAGAGAGAAGGTCTCTCTCTGTAAGCCTGGATCTGGTGCAGTGAGCTGCAACCTCTCAGGCTGCCTGTCTTGCATGACTTGTCAGTGGTTGATGCCTTCAAGGCACAGGTAACCAAAGGGTGTCTGACTTTTGTCACTTCCAGGGCCACACTTCTTCAGACGTACTGCATCTGTGAACTCCTGCCCACTCCTCGGGATCGATCCCCTCACCCAGGCGGGCCAATCAGTATTGGGGAAAGGACACTCTAATGCCCTTTCCTGTTCTGCAGGTGCCCGGGGCATCGTCAACAGTGGCCTGATCCCCTCG